GTCAACCTGGGCTGTTGCTTGACTGGCTGCACGCATTGGTCCTGCCACACCGCATCGTGATCCGACCTCGCCATGTGCCTGCTTCCCACCGCTACGCCCCCAACTCCGCTTTGCACCCCCCTGGTGAGCACATAGTCCAACCTTCTCGACTGCATGCGGGTGTTGTAAGGGTGGAACGTTGGCCTGGCCAGGTCCTGCTCTGCTGCCGCCCCCCCGCAAGCCGCCACCGCTTCCAGTATAACTTCTCCCCTCCCCGTGTGCGCTCGGAGTCCCTCCCCGTCTTCGTCAGTGAATGTCTCATTCATATCCGCTCCCAAAACCAGTCTGGCCTTGCGCAGCGTCTGCTCCCAGGCTTGCACAATCGCCTCTGTCTGTGGTATGGTGGCGTGGTGCGGTATGTGTCCTGAGAGGTACCTCACCCCCCTCTTTCCCCTTGCTTCCCCTAGTGTTGTGGCGATCCCCGCCGGCAGCAGCTTAGTGTTGGTATGTTTGAGCCTGTCCGCTCTGTATGCCACCCCTGTCCCCCTCCAGTCTCCCTCGCTCTTTCCCAAAACGATCACCCACCCCTCATGTTCGTGAAAGTGGATGCCGGGCTCGCAAATGATTTCCTGCAACAGCAGGACCTGTACTGAACTCAAGGTGTCGTGCCCCACGAAATGCTTGGGCAGCTCCAGCGCGTCTTGCGCCGTGAGTCCCCCAACGTTCCATGTAGCCACTCTCAGTGCTGGTGGAGCTTCCTTGGGACCCCCCACCTTGGCGTGAAACATGTCAGCGGTTCGAGCCCCCCTTCACTGGAGCTCTGCTTTTCTTGGCCCCCAAGCCTGCTCGACCTCCTCCTTGGGCTTTCGCATGGCTTTGGCCAGGAGCGGGATGTCCACCCAGCCGGCCCCCACTGCTTCCGCTTCTTTCGGCCGCTCGGCCGTTGCGCTGCTCACTTTGTGCCCATGCATCCAGACCGTGCCCGTCGCAAACTCCACGTCTAAGGCCTTGGCGTCCCCCTGCATCTCCAAGATGGCGCGCTTGACTTTTCCCGCCAGCTTTGCCCTGCGTCGTCTCTCCGGGCTCTGTGAGATTGCTATCCACAGCTTGCGTAGTCCCCCTTGCTCGTTCTGCCCGAGGGACATGTTGGCGTTCCGCACCCGTTGGATCGCGGCTTGCACTCGCACTCGCCTGGCTTCCTCGGCTTCAAAGGGCCTGGCGGGGATGGGCACGATCGCATACCCCCTCCTGACCCCTGGCACGAACATATCTTGTGTGTCCAGCGGCACGTCCAGCCTCTGTAGTATTTCCTTGGCTGCCTTGAGCGTCTCGTCGGCCATCTGGTCCGGGTGCCACCCCCCCAGGATGATGGCTGGCTTGCGCCCCCCATCCCCCAAGGCTGCGGTGTCGGCTGTGCTTTGTGGTGCTGAGCTCCCTGGCGGTTTTTTCTCCAAGTCGGTGAGTCTGGCTTCCATCCCCCGCTGTCCTTCCCTCAGCTCCGCCAGCGTCTTGGCCTGGTCGTCATAGTTGTCCGTGATTTTCGCAAGCATGGTGAGGGTGTTCTGCATCTGCTGCGTCACCCCGCCTTCGACATTGTCCATTCGGCCACGCAGCTGCTGCATGTCCCCCTGTACCATCTGCAAGCTCTGTGCCAGGTGCTGTCTGTCTATGTTGCGCTCCTGCGCCAAGACCTCTCTGAGCATCTCCAGCGTCAGGGGTTGATCCCCGTGTCGCCCTCTCTTCTGCGGTGCGCCTGCGTCCTCTGTTGGTGAGTTCACACCCCCTGCGTTTGCTGCTCCCGGTCCCTCCGCCTGTGCCCCTCCCATCGGCGCGTCTGCGCCCCCCTTCATAGTCATTCTTCTTGTTCTCGATAGGGTCGCTGTAGTGTCACGATCTCCCCCCGCAAGTACTTTGTCTCCCTTCGTCGGTGCCGTGAATCGCACCCCCGTCGTTCGGTGCGAGTAGGCTCGCCGATATCAGTGTGGTAGTTGTCCTTAAGCTCCCCCGCACGCCTAAGCAGCGGCACCCTCGAGCTCCGTACTTGCCGATGTCCTCCCTCAGAACCCCCGGCAGGTAGTCGCGTAGGGCAGCGTTCTGGTAGGTGCTCTCGGATGGCAGCACGGTCTACAAGAGGTGCGGGCTGGCCCCCCCCTCGCAGGTTTTCACAACTCTCTCTCAAGCTCTCCCGGTTGAGCCCCCCCGGACACGGGCTGGGGCCTTGAACCGCTCACGGCTTGAGCCAAAATGGCTACTCTCTCTCTCTCTCTCTCTCTCGCTCTCGTCGTCAGAAATCTGCGCGTCACAGTCAAATGAGAAGTACATCCCATTACAAGAAAGGGCAGTGCGACCTCAAGTCCAAAGTGTGAATGAATATGGCCTACCATTGCTGTTGCTGCCCTTCCTGCTACTTTGCGACTCTGTTGTCACAGTCCCCGTACTACTGCACTTGCTACAGCTCTGTTGTCAATGATCAGAATGTGCTTTTTCAACTGAGATAGAGGCACGGTCCTTGGCTTAAAGGGCATTTCTTGAACCGCCCTTGCACAAACGCATCCGGCTCACCGTGGTGAGATCCATGAACAAGGTTCCAGTGGATATCACCTGAGAGGGCAAAGCGCACCAGAGGATGCTGCCACGAGTTTCAGGCGGGTGACGTCCAAGACGAAGAAGAAGCTGCCAAAATAGTCGTCTTTCCCTGGAAGTACGGGGTCAGGTGGTCGGAACTGCCCAAGGAGCACGCAAGCAAGCAATCCGGCCTAAACACGACGCGAGACATTCCAGAGAGAAAAAAACCTTGGTGCCGGGGGCAGCTCTGCAAATCGACTACGCCGACTACGCACATTGCAAGGCACATTGCAACCGGGAGGCGATGCAGAAGACAACTAAACCGTCGAAGATATCGTCGACGGGTTTGTTCGTGCAGAGCAGCTTCAGGTCATCACCTGCGGGCCGGGGCATCAAGAGAAGAAGGGGACCCCGGTGGCCCCAAGACCGCAAGCCACCATGGTGCTCGCTCTAGCAACTCCATGACATGAACTCAAGACTCCGAAAGTATCCGATGGAAGAAGGCAACATGTCTCCGTGGGCAAAGCCCTGCACAACTGGCAGACTCCAGCCCCCTCGTGACGGGATTTCCCGGGCTCCACGCCCATCAGTGCCCACACGGTGATAAGAGTGCTGACCTCAGGCACAGTGTATGCATTGTCCGAGTGCATGCATAGGCTGCGGAATGACCCTCAAGACACCGTGCCGGGGCCCCTCACGAAAACGAAGATCTTGTGATCCACGAGGATCCCACATAGTCTGGCGGTTCGGTCAGGCTTCTTAGCCTACTGCCAACTTGAAATCCAAGGCCTGCAGAGCATCTTTGGTGAAAAACAAGATAAGACGAGATTGAACTTACAGTGGCGAGTGTCTTCCACACTAAAGCGCCATTTCAGCGCCTGCAACTCTTCGGGGGTAGCTTGGGCACAACTAGGCATCCTAGACCCACGGCCCATCTCCCATGGTGCTCTTTCCCACCTGCCACTACCTCTACCCGTGTTTGAATTATATTCGCAAGTGAGATGTTGACCAGGACAAGACTCCAAGCTGCACCTCGATATTCGTGACAGCATTACCTGGCGGAGGCCCGCTTTGCTAGCTGAAAGGGGCTCACATACTCTCACATATCCACCTTAGAGTGGTGCGCTTGGTTTACACTTCACCGGAGAATTCGGCTTCGCTGCAGGCTTTCGGCGTGAAAGTGGGCCACCTTCCATGGACTCCGCTGGCGAGGGACCTCGAACTTGATACAAGATCACAGGACTCCAAAAACTCTGGGATCTGGGAGGGTCTGCGGGGGTTTCGGGGCCTCAGACAACCCGGAACACCACTGAGGCACGGGCCTTTTGGACAGGTACGGTTGAAACCGAAACCGGCGGAGCTGGAGAGTTACCACCATTGCCACCACTTTTGGTGCTCGTCCCTGCAGAAGGACCGGCTTGCTGGCGCCATTGAACAAGGAACGAAACCTGAGGCCCCCACCGCTCGAGTTGATGCTCGTCCTCTCTTGACCCCCTCCTGGCAGAGCAAGGCGAGACTTGAAACCGGTGACTTCTCTGCATGCGCTGCTCTGGACCACGAACGTCAGGTTTTCCTGTCTGACACTGTAGACCTTGCCTCTCACGGCTGTCAGAAACCCAAAACTATACCGAATCAATTAAACTCCGGAGCAAAGATCCCCAAACCGACGGAGGCAGAAATGGCTGGGCTCCACACCGGCTTCCCGGAGCTTGCCCTGAGAGGTACGTTGTCCGAGCGCCAACCGAGGATCTTCTACCGCTTTCGAGTTCGGCATCGGGTTGGCACGATCACTCGGGTTTAGGGTTTAGGGTTTAGGGGTTTAGTGTCTGACTTTACGGTTTAGGGGTCTAGGGGTTTAGGGTAACAAACTTCCTGACTGCACGTTACATGGAGGAGCGTCACGGGTCGTGCTCAAGGCTCTCTTCGCTTGGGAGGCCTCAGGTTCTAGTTTGGACGACAGCAGGGGTGCATGCGTAGAAATTCCTGATAGCCATTCAATGCTTACGAGTGCCTGGTTGCCCGAGCCAATCATGAAGTTAAGGACTTGTTGTCACTACCATTACTATGAGTATAGCGGTTACGACCTGTATTTCTACCGATGTGTGCTTCTATGACCAGAGGTGATGCTGCTTGCCAGCACTAGCACCGGTGCTGCTGCTACTACAAGTAAACTACGGGCTGAGGAAACCACGGAAGAAGCGTGGCTCAAGGTGAGTGACCTCGGACTTTCGTAACCGAAGGCTGGAGGCTGGGCAGTCCAGCATTACTCACAACTCAGAGGAGGCAGCACGAGGAGCGCTAGGGGCGGTGCCCTTGGTTGCGGCGAACTGGGTCTTCTCTGGCCTTGAGCTCGGGGGTTGCCTCGCTTTGCGTCCTGGCACAAGCAAAGCGACCCCGGCCGGCAATGCGAAGCTGCGTTCGGGAGTCCTTGGCGGCCATGCCTGTGCAGGCCCTGATTCCTGGGCAAGGCTCAAGTGTGGGGGCCGGGGCCGCAATGGCCGCCATCGTGTCTGAAAGACTGTGCGCACGGCCATGGCAATTGGCAGCCGGGACCGGACCTTCTGCAAGAGCTCACGGCCAGAAGGCTGCACCGGAAATTCCAGCCTGGCCTGGCCTGCGTTCCTGTCGGACGCCGGTCACGGCCTGAAAGAAGAAGAGACGAGAGATCTGGCGCACATTGCACGCAAGGGGTTGCACTGACCGGCTGTTAGGGGCACCTCGGCCGTGTGGCGAGGCCAGTCCAAAAACGTTTTCAACGCGCTGGACCTGAGACAAGGACGAACATCAGATGTAGCATGCTCACAGTCTTCCTGCCGAGGCTGGTGCTGTGCCTCTTTCAAAGGTCAATTGAGAGGCGTTGACTACCGCGATAGCCTTTGCACCTGAGGAGAGCGACGGTCTCTCCGAAGGATACTACACCACTCGAAACACACGACCAAAAAACGCTATACGCAACGTGCTGAGATGCGAGATCTCTTGGGCGCCCGGCACAGCCCCTGCAGCACAAAGGCCGCCTGCAAGGCGCCGTATGCGCAGTGTAAGAGACAAATCCCTCCTGTTAGCGGCGGCTATGTCCCCCAAACAACCAGTGTGTTCATTCCCCTACTGGTACACGGTTGTTCATGCATTGGGTGGCAAACGGCTGATAAAATCTGTTCAATCACAGGATGTCCAGGGGCCTTATCTGGAAGCAGCAGTAGCTACCGGATCCGAATACCGTACTGGAGGGGTCCCAAAATGCAGAAGCAGGGTCCTTCAGTCCAGATTGTCCCAGATGGGCTCAGGGTGCGGAGAGGGGTACAGTGGATACAGTGGCTGTGCCAAGGATCTTACTGTCCTGGCAAGGTCCGATAATGCATGGGAGAGGTCCAACGAAACAGGGAACCCTGAAAGACTGTACTCGATGGACCCCGGGCCCCCAACCCCCCAACACATTCCCTAAGCAGGGGGAATGAGACAACGGAACCCAACAGCAACAGCAGCAAATCGCCACAATTGCAGCCACAATTAAGCAACTGCAGATGCAGATCATCATCACCATCCTCGTCCTCGTCACATCCTTATCACCATCATCATCACCAGCACCATCATCACCATCACCATCATCGTCGTCATCACCATCATGATCCTCATGACCGTAATCATCATGACCATCATCATCATCATGACCATCACGAAACATCATCATCATCATCATCATCATCATCATCATCATGCAGCATCATCAGCATCATCATCATGCAGCATCATCATCATCATCATCCAAAAGCTTATGGTCATCGTCATCATCATCGTGCGCAATTGTTGCATCTTCGTCTTCATCAACAACAGCCTCACCGTCGTCAACATCAACAACACGGACATCATGCGCATCACCGTTATCGTCATCATTTTCAACATGAGCGTGAACAACACAATTATCATCGTCAGCAACATCATCAAAATCACCATCACGGCGGTGGTGGTGGCAGTGGCTGTGACGGTGATGGCGGTGAGTGGTCATGCTGATCAAAACTGTAGACGTGCTGACATTCTCGTGGTAAAAACATCCATAGGATCATCAGTTTTATACATCGTCATCCTATTCGTCAGCATCATCGTCGCCCTGGCATGCTGCACTCTGGTCGGGCACCATCATGAACATCTCGGACGTGATTGACGGCACCATCTTCAGGATCAACTGATCGACATCATCACTAGCATCATCACAGCAATCGACATGACGATCTGCAGAATCACGATGAAGGCACGCGCCCCTGTCACAGAGTTCCCAACAGAGCCTTCGGCGGAGTCCCTCTGCACTGCGGGGATCCATGTGAATCCCATTCAACGCCCACCCGCTGAATCCGAGAAACAGCGACATCGTGCCACAGGTCAGCAACAAATCATGCCGTGCACCAAAGCTTCCAACGATGTTTCCAAAGATCATACAAGTTGTCGACTGATGATTCTACCGGCAAATCCCTGTACCCTCTGTGCTTCACGATGGCTCTGCCACCTGCCTGTTCACAGCACACCGGCTCGAAATACTCGTGTGTCAAGTACTGAAGAATGTCTTATGTTACACGGACTTTAGATGTGGGAGCGACAAGCGTCCCCGCATGGACGACAGTGTCACGAGGAGACAAGTTTGCAACTGCAAGCATTTGTTCGTGCACGCCCTTCTGGAATTGTGTCTGGCTGGAGGGTGCGGGAGAGCCAAGAAGAGCTCAAGCATCTCTGGGGGCCGCTCCACTCCGCCGCACCACCGCCGGTCTGCGTAGCTGGACGCTCTGGCGCTCCGGCTGAAGAGGCTCCAGTTGGAAGCAGTCGGCATCTTCGTGGCAACTTGCCAAAACTGGGCCAGGCGGCATCAGATGTACCGGCCCAAGAGTCTAGACAAAGAGCATGCAAGCAGGGAGATCAGGCATCTCCCTAATAAAACACCTGCCAAACACGGCAACGTAAATCAACGCACGGTCTAAGTCCAATCCGACGAGACGGCACGCGCAGAACAGTCCTCCAGACTGCCTGTTAATGGCTAAAACATGCCAGGTCTTGCCATGGCCCAAGGCCAGGCAAGTGTGCAACACATCAAGACTCAACTGGAAGATCGAGCCTCGCAGGCTAGGGCGAGGGGCTAAGAGAGGTGGTCAAACGATACTTGATATGAGTGCAACACATGCACTCTTCATCTGGCCCTGTGTAGGCTTCAGATCTCGCTGTCGTCGTCTGAGCACAGAGTACTTGAACTTCGGCGGGCACTTGGCAATGTCCTTCGCAAGCTGCACACAGAGCGAAAAGCCTCGCTTTGCTCTGATTCGTTAACGGATGACCCTGTAGTTGGAGCCTTTGCAGCACTTCTTCCTGTGGACCTATTTCCTACATGGAAGCGGAAGAAACAGCAAGCACTATGCATCGTCACTATGGTTTTCCTCACCAGACTGAGGCCTGATTGTGGTTTGCAGATTTACGTACACTAGGCGATGAGCTCGCACTGGCTTGTGCATGCTCTGAAGCTTTCCTTTCGGCTTACGTTGCAGACTTGTTCAACTCGAGCTTTCATCTTGTTCGGTCTGCAGGATATGCCCGCTACTCTTTCATGTCCGATCCTTGCAGAACTCGTCCATCCGGAGCACGTGCTTCCAGTGAGCTCGGCCATCTGGAGCCAGCATTGTGCCCGGAGGGACGTCCAGGAAGCGTGGAGTCAGGGAGGAAGTCGATGGAGTGCGCAGGCCTGCGGCCCAACTAAACGACTCGAACTCCTCTTGCTCGCTCTGTTCCTCGACCTCAATGGGCATGTCAACCGGGTACAGAGAAAGGTCTGCCAGGTCTATGTCGGGCTTGCATGGTGGCGGCAGTGCAGAGAAGTCGAAGTCGCCAAGCTCGTCTATGTCGGGTTTCCCTGTAGCTGTCACGTCGCCTGGGCTCACACTGCAGCAACTGCCGACTGAGAAGCACCACTATCCCCCATCACAACGACTCTGAAAGTGTCAAGCCACCAATCCGCCTTCCCATTTGGTTGACTGCCTCCAGTCTCTCAAGTTCTGAACGAGCCATGGAGCAGCCCACACTATCTTCCTCCCTCTCTCAGCTCTGTCTGAGCCGCAGTTGAGGCTGCAATCTAACATATATGACAATCACGCACAATGACAGGACATGTTCTCGGAAGATCTGTAGCTGTAGCTTCCCTACCGGGTTGCAACAATAACACCCTTCTCATGCTGGATGATTTTTCGACACACGCAAGGTCTGGCGGCGAAAGGCTCAGCAGACCACAACTGGCAGAGCTGGAACGCGAGGGAGCGCAGACCGGAGAAGCTCTGTAACAGCCTTCTCCTCATCGCTTCTGTTCGGGACCACAGTGCTTGCAGTGCTGTCCGCATCTTCCACAGATTTGAGAGATGTGGGGAGGCTGCACGGCGCGCTTCAGGCGATTTGCTCGGACGCATTAGTCAACGAGCGTGGCAAATCTGCGGACCACGATCTGCTTCTGATATCTGAAGAGGTCAGCCTGCAAATGGGCGTTCGAAATTACGAGTCTGGTCTGAAGCACCGCGGCAAGCGGTGCCTGAGCAGCTGTCCAATTCGACTGCAGCACGCGCTCGTGTTTGCCAGACTCCTGACACCACACCTTAGACTGACGGCGCATCGCACGGTCCACAAGTCAGCTTGTTTCAGAAGCTTGAGCACCAGGCCACTTCGTGCGTAGAGTCTGAGAGTCCTAGACTTTGGAGGATGTCGGACATCGTCGTGTCGGCATTGACTGCGACACGCTGCCTTTCCTTGCAAAAAAAAAAACGATCGACGTGAAAGTGAGATGCCAAGTTGAGATGTTCTGAGTCGCCTCCTGGCCAACCACTCGAGGCTCCCAGTGCCAGGGTTGTGGGATCCGTGCTTGGCTACCGCCTTCTTGCAAGTTCATCGAGATCTCAAGACCTGTCCGTTCGGGCGATGATTCCCTATGTTGCCTCAGCGTCAGCGCAGCGACCCGGCCTTCCGGAAGGCGATGCCAAGGGTCCACTTTCCGCCAGTCGTAGCTTGGATTGAAATCTTCAGGTCGGTGAACAAAGAAATTCACCTTCTCGGTGTGCGTGACTTCGAAGGGGCCAGCGCCTTCGAGATCCTCACGGTTGCCCGTATTCTCGCAGCGCAACGCAGAGAGCGTGAGTCCCCTGGTGCCATGCCTCTTTGGATTTGGGCTGCATCGAGGAATCTGCTGTCTTCCAAAGCACCTGTGCTCCGTGGTGCTGCTTTGATATGATCTACCACGATGACACATGCAATGTTAACACAGCTGATTCTTCTTGTGCCCGGCACTGCTCGGATGAAATGGCTACCTGGCTGCCAGCCAGGTAACTTAGGCGCCAAGGCTGCCAAGGTAAAATCGGCCTTCGGGCACACCGCGCCAGACGTAGGGCTCTGTGGGAACCTGCACCAGGTCCCGTTTCTGCCGTGTGCGACAATGCCAACCCGCAATAGGCCTTCTCAAAGCAGTTCATGGGCGTGGATGGGCTGCCGCCCACCTGAATTGGCTATTGAAAGCAAGATTCGCGCTACGACCGAGAGACCTGATCGCCTCCCCTGGCTACAAACTCTGGCCTCCAGCCAAAAGGCCAGCCCCCCAGCCAGGGCACCTCAGGTGCTGCTGCTTCTGTCTGCTATACGGCTACGGCTACGGCAGCAGCTGGCTACGGCTGCGGCTAATGCTACTGCTACTGCTGCTGCCGCTGCCGCTGCCGCGACCCCGACCGCGACGGCTACCGCTCGGCACCGCTACCGCTCCTGCTACTGCTCCTCCTCCTGCTGCTGCTGCTGCGGCTAAAGCTACGGCTGCGGCTGCGACTTCTGCCCTGCTGCTGCTGCTGCTACCTGCTACCTGCTACCTGCTACCTGCTACTGCTACGGCTGCGAATACTGCTACTTCCACTCCTGCTCTCCTCCTATTACTACGTTACTCATGCAGGTGCTCCAGTGCAACATTATCAGTATGAACCAGCGAAGCACACCTGGCAACATCTTTCCACGGTGGCCGAGGCTCTGTTGAACTTTACAGACACATCGGCGAGGGCACCGTCTGCAAGGGCCACGTTCTGACCTATCTGAGGTTGGTTAGGAAGCACGCTGAGGCAAAGAGGCCACAGGAGTCAACACCAAAAGACAGTGGCCTGGCCTGTCTTTGGAACGAGGATGAGCTTCGACTCCCCTACCGATGCCTTGTCCACCAGCTCCATGGATGTTGGATGCACGGAGCTCCTGTGCACGACACTGCGAGGCGAAAGGTCCAAGCAGGACATATTTATGGGCTCTCGAAGGCTCCAAACTTTAAGAGGATTCGAGGGGTCTGGGGTGATTTAAGGTAAACTTGAAGGTTCATGCATGCTCTGCAGAAGGTACAAGTACACCCGCTGAGGCTTATGAAGGCATCTGAATCTAGAGTCTAGAGCTAGCTCTAGTAGCCCCGCATGTCACTCTTGGTTCCTCACGAGCGACTGGGCTGCGGGATGCTGGGAGTTAGTGGCTTACAACGGGCTCCTTCTTCGGCCAGTTTAGGGTTATAGCTCCCAAGAAGAGGGTACTACAAGTAGTTGAATACACTTGGCGCTAGGCGTGGCCCAAAGATAGGATGCTCTTCGAGTGCGCTCGGTCAGCTAAGGATTCAGGGTTGGGGGTGCGGGGAGTCGGGTCAGAGGGATCGGGGCTCCGGCTTTGGCAGCGCCGTCAGGCTGGGGCAACCCTACAAGGAACAAGGCAGATATCAACAAACCCTCCCCAAACCTGCAAGTGCTCCAGCGCGCAAGCCAAACCGAAGGAGAGAAGGACCTGCACGGCAGAAGCCGAGTGTTCAAGCTCGGGGTTTTGTTAGTCTAAGGCAAGATCTGCAAGCGCCTTGCTGATGGCACCGGCCCGCCGCGGCGCCAAGGCAATCCACAGAAATGCAAGCGAAAATCGATGCGAAGCTTGTGCATACATTCGAAACTCTTTGCAGCGATGTTTTCAAGCTCTTTGAACTAAAGTCTTGAAGTCTTGAGACCACAAACGGCTCAGCAGAAAATCTGTGACGAGCTCGTCGCACCTTCGGATCCTAAGAACGATCGGGGTCAATTTTATATCTGGCCTACAACGAAGCCTGTGGGCATACGAGCAGACATGCTCTGCACCTTCAAGCCGGCATGGACAAAAACCGAGGCCACCACACTGTAGGATGCAAAACTCCCAGGCACGGCTCTTTTCGGCACTGTTGAAAGAGGCAGCTGCCGGCTGTGGGTGAGAGTCCGACACCAAAACGCTGTCGCAGGCCTGCATGGGTCGCCCAGCAACAGGACGGGTCACCCGGATTAGTTAAGATTGAAATAGACGTATCAAGAAAACTATTGCTACATATATCTACGAACACGACTCCGGACCAGGTTGAAGCCAAGTTGTCGGATGTCCAGTCATACTACTAGTGTGACCATTACGACGCTTTCTTTATGACGAGTACTAGGGTCCTATAAACTGCATCACTTTAGTGGCTGTATGGTCCTATATTGTATATTGTATAGAGTACAACCACATAACAATCGAAACATTTCTATATCGCATAGTATATTTTGAACAACTCTTAGATAGTATACTAGAATGACTATAGTGCGCTGCACCATGTCATCGTATGCCCCTGCTGCAGAAATTGCCTTGTTAGTTCAGCTATTCGATAGGCCGAACTCCCAACCGGACGAACGCTCTGATATGGGAGTTTCAGAAAATAGGGGGTACCTTAGTTTGGGGTCCTTATAATAGGGATCCTATTATTTGGGGTACTATATTAGGGTCCCCTATTTTCGGAAACCCCCATATCTTGAACCACGCCATGCAGCTGGCCTTTAATGCCTTGGACCAGTCTGCTGCGTCATCACAAGTGGACAGGTCCTGTATCCTTGGTGATGCAGGGCCCACTGTCCAGTCAGATTCGCAGATCGAACTGTCGCGGCCTCGCCGCCAGAGCTCGCATCGCATGCGGCGGCAGAGCTGAAAGATTCTCACCCAGAAGGATGGCCAGAGCCTGCCGGCCGAGGGTGCCTTCCGCTTGGGCTGCAGGGCTCCTCTTTGTTGCCGCTCCTCCGCGCCGGCTGCTGCGAGGGCTGGGCTGCGCTCTGCCCGGCAGGCTCGAAGCAAGCAGAGGGCTGATCCTCAGCGCTCCGCGACCGCTAGCAGTGGCTAGCAGTTCTGTATGTGCAGCTTGCAGAGAACAGCAGAGGGCCCAACGGTACCTGTCACCACCAGTGCAGCCTTCCAAGTCTTCCGGCACACACCGCTGCAGGCGCCTTGCAACGGACCTCAGCAAAGTCCGCACACTCGGCCCTCTGAAACTGCGTCCGCGCCGTCTCGTGCAGGTCTTTTGGGTCCCTGGCAGTGCCAAGTCTGAGACCTCAGGGCACACGTCCAAGGACTGCATAGCTCCTAGCATCATCTCGATGGCCTTGGACGGTCCCAGCAGGCGCTCCATGGCAACAAAAAAGTTGAGCCTGGCACTGACACTTCCTTCATAGAAGCTCGTCCCTTAAAGGATCTCTTCAACAGCTCAGGCTTTGGCAGACCTCGGGGCAAGAATCGCGTGGCGCCTGAGCTGCACATGGCTGCCAGCTGCGACTCCAGCTCAGAGGCTTAGGGGCGCACGGTTCGTTCCACGATCCAGAAGGACTGTGGCCTGATCCCCAAAGAGCAGATCAACAGCAAGCCACGGCCAGGTCAGATTCAAAGGGCACCGATTGTGCCTCAGCGCCTGACAGCCTCCAAGATTTGTTGGAGACCGGCTGGATCTTTGCAGCTCCTCTAGGCAGGTTGCTAGATCAACCCCCCCCACTTCACCGCTCACACCCGCGGACTTCCTCTGGAGCCGCGCGCAAGCGTATGCCGAGATTTCCAAGTGCATTGGCCCCATCCTTGCGTCAGAGGGCATCGCAGCATCTCGCAGGGAAAAGGATGAACAAAAGACGCACCAGAGCCGCCCTAGGGCCCTAGGAAAAGACGCCCCTCCTGCCAGCGTGCTGAGCCACTGCTCCCACCAGCAAACTGCGTGCTGAGCCTGAGATGCTCTGCTGGTTGCTCTCTTCGGACAAGTGTACCGACACTGCTGCCCTTACTTCTTGTCTGGGCGACGAACTCCAGTCAGATTCTACTTTCGCAAAGGACGATGCACCTGCGCAGACCGAAGAAGCTGCCATGTTCAAATCGCGAGCCGGGGAGCACAGGAGCACGGGCTTTTCTTGGATTCGCGTAGAGTGATCGGCGACCGCTTCAAGGAAGGGAAAAAACAAGAAGGGAAACCAAGCCTCGCACTGCGCTCGATTCGTGGAACACATCGGTGCCATGGAAAAGATATGTATGCCGTCATTCAAACCCCCACTGCCGGCGAACACATCACATGCTGATTCGCTGTTCTCGTGTAGAGGTGTTTTCGGCTGTCCTGGGTCATGCCAACCTTCCTTCGGATCAAAGGTGTCCGATATGATTCGCTGGCATTCGCTGCTTCGTCCATATCAAATACTGGTCTTTCACAGCATGCCTGCTCGGTTTCGTGTTCGCCCTGCAACGAGCACGATAAGCCCGCTGCAACTCTTTGGACGGCTTTCATTGGTGCTTTCGCAACCGCAAGAAACCGCAAGATTCATCCTGTGCGCTTGCGAAAAGAGGAGGTTGGTCGGAGGCAAAAGGCGTTCTGCGTCAGGTTTTGCAAGCTCAACAGCTGAAGGAACTCTCTAATCATCATTACGCCACAACATATCACAAGATACAAGAGGCCCCGACCCACCAGATTGGCGAGCATCAACGGGGAACTCAGCCCCCAGGCCTCTTTCGGAATGCTGCGAGAAATGGTCTACACTGCGTAACATGCACGAACGCCTCCTTGCTGTGCTCGAGAGCTCGGTCTTCGAACCTCACAACCACACAACCGGGGCAGGTTTGCACAACCTCTCACAGCGAATGCGCACGCCTTCGAAACACCGCCTTCACCTCCTGTCCAGAGGTTGTCGTCAATCAACCGTATTGACTCACACAATCGACATCTGCATGTTGCTCCACTGGAAGCTTCCAAGCATCACCCTAGCCCCAGCAATGCAAAACATCCAAGAGGTACTTGTGAGCGCTGAAGCGAAGGATCCGATGCAACAAACAATCGAAGGCCGAAGTCTGACTCAAGCTCGCTGACTATGAGAAGACACACCTAACACACCAGAACATACCCAAAAACACTTTCTACAAAAGTCTCTTCCGAAACTCTTATGGCTGCTCGTGCTGCTCAAACGTTTGTCCGTTCGTGCTGTTTTTGCCTTCAACTGCACACGAGTTTCGGCATCGTCACATGAGTCCTGACTTTCTCGGTTGCTACTCGCTGGTGCTCTGCTCTGTCAGAGGGCCGGCACTGCAACAAGGCCCTCACACAGCAAATTTGACTTGCGAGGTCATTCAAACTGCTGGACCTGAACTTATCACATCCAGTTAATTCGGCCTCTTCGCCCAAAGCCTCACGCAATGCAAGCAGAGCAGATGACATGCACCTGGCAGTCCCAGTCCGAGTACCGTGTGCGAGTCTGACCGTCCAAGAACACTGAACTGAGGTCAGAACGTAAGATTGGAAGGCGTCTTTCCCACAGTCGACAGATTACGAACCTCCCGAGACTTGACACGCCCGGCCTACTACTCTATCCGACAGCAATCCCAAACATCTGACTTACATCCCACCAGCGATTGTAAGGTGTCGCCGTCTTTGTACTTGGCCCGAGCGAAGCACCGCCTGAGAGGGCCATTTCAAGGATGTGGGGAGTGCGAACAAGCTCCCCCCTCCCTCGAGGTTCGGGGCCCGGGCAGGAGCCGGATGCACAGGTCTATGTCCTGACAGGTCACTGTCCTCTCTGAGACATCTCGATGAATCTCTTGCCGCTAAGGCGCCATCTGCGAACAAAGCTCCGCAAAGCGCGAAGCAATCCCAGCCCACTCGCCTGGCCACCGACAGCCACGAGCCGTGATGAGATGAGCGAGAGCGCCCTCGGCGACGCTGTGCGGCTGCGCCTTCTCCGCGACGGCCGGACCTGACTGGGCTGCCCCATGCCGCCCGTGCCCTCTCATCTGCACTGTGCCTTGTGACCTAAGGCTGGTGCCTGCGACCCTCCGCGTGAGCTCTGCGCTGAAGCAGTCGCTCAGCATGCCTAGTCAGCTCCAAACCTCGAGAATGCAAGCCCCAAGCCGGGACGGCAATTGCTCGGTCGCATTCACTTAGGCACGAACTGTTCAAGCCACTGACGCTTCCGCTTTGCGCCTCGTCGCAAGCAAAATTATTTGATTAGGGCTCAGACCGGAGTGGGATGCTGCGGGGCCGGCAAAGGGGCTCCGCTCCAAGTCCGTCAATGGCCAATCCTTGCCTTAAGCAAACACAAGACTTGCATGGGCGCTTTCTTCTGACCGTACATGATCGTACAGGTTACATGAACGATGCACACAGAAGTGTCTAGGCACTGAATATGCACTTCTCAGATGGGTTGCGTTGGTTGATAGTCAGGGCCACCGGTGGAGGAACACGCAGCTCATGAAACATCCTCAGCAGATGAACGAGCCGCTGGCAGAACACGTGGGCGGACTAACCAACCAGTACAAACCCTACATGCGCCCCTCTATGAGATTCTATGAGCGGATCGACAAAACTGATGAGATGTCCGTGCTGCACTGTAGCTGCACATGTTACAGAGGCATTGACGTTCGGCATGACTTCGCAAACGACCGCAAAGCGCCCCCCGGCAGCCGCAAGGAAGGAGATGGCATCTTGCAGGCCCGCAAGACATGATGGCACAAGCACTACCCTCTTGCCCAGTGCTTTGGCGGCTACTGTACTGTGCTGCATGAACAGACTCGCACTATGAAAGCTGCCTTCTCGGCATTCCCAAATATGCTAGGCATCAGGAAGGCACCCAATTTGCAAGGGGTATTGAATATTGCATGACGGCCCAATTTGAGAAAAATGAGGCCAAAACCTGCACAGTATGCGTGAAATTAGAATTCATCATACGCCATGATTCACACAATACTGTAGCGGCTGTAGCTCTGAAGTTGACCTCCAGCTTTTGCACCACTTGTTGCTTGTGAGGGCTATGATGTTCGAGCGCTGCGAAATTCGGCAGACAATGCATTGTATTGGAGCAGCACCTCAGGAAGGCAACAGCATGCCACCTCTGTCCGTGCGACTGCACTGGAACCGCCAAAATCGAACTACTTGTTCCGAACGTACCACCACCCTTGAAGTGCAGTCAATCTGAACTACCAGATGTCACACAAATCGGACAGACTTTCCGCGGGTTGGCATAGAGCTGCTAAGTCATCCTCAGGAACGGAATTTGCAGTCGCCGCACATTCCGGCTGCTATTAGAAACTGCAGCGCTGCTGCCGGCGAGGTTCGCTCCTACCACGGAAACTCCGGCACTGCCAGATTGGCCAACCAGGATGGCAATAGAGCCCTGTCAAGACCGTTCACAGATCGCCTCAATTCTGCGTCGTCACTCTTTAGCTCACCATCCCAGGAGCAGATCCAGACTGGATTGACGAGCTTTCGGAAATGCTTGTAGCTGCTGTGCTCCTTTTCGGTGATCCCAATGAAACAGACACGTTTCCCAAAGAAACACAACAGATCGGACCGAAGTCAAAGCAGATCCTAATGCTTCTGATTCGGCAAAGATTCCGAGATGAACTCCTCCACCTTGTCGCGCTCCTCCCTGTCCCCACACTGGTTAAAGGGAGCCACACGAATCAGAAGCAGCGCACGGATTCTCTCTTCGAGTTGCCTAAACTGGCGCTCGACGAACAGGCTCTCTTCCCAGCGGCTAGCTGTGGACGTGGTCACATACACAACGGGGTCTCCAGCGGCAGCATCGGATTCTGATATCTGCCACCTTTTCGGAAGGGCTGAGCTGCCACGAATAACCTCAAGCACTTTCTGGCGCGAGATGTCCGATGGAAGGTGGTCCCTTCCATCTGTCCCTTGAACGTGCAACTGTATGGGAGATAGATGGACCTCCAGCACCCGGCACAAAAACCAGGGTAGCAGCAGAAGAGGGAGCACCGCTAGGGCGGCAAGCCCAGGTCGTGTAATCTGCTTGGCGGGGCTCGCTGCCACCGACACTTCGCAAGGGTCTGCGTCTGTACACTCTGATGCCACACCTGGAGTCGACACTTCCGCAGTGCCGCTGGACTTTGGTGGAGCCTCTGCATCTGTAACCGATTCCTCTGACCGCTGGACAGCGTCCGCTGGCCTGCAAGGGGCTTGCAAGGGCGAGGGGCTCCAGAGGGATTGGGCTTACGCATCCAAAGAAGAAATTCGCCCGTGCCTCGGAATGGTCTCCGTCTTTGCAGTGATGGAACCCAGAACTTTGGACGGGTCCGGCGACTGATTCCGATGCCGTGGGCCTGGGCTTGAGAATCTTAAAAATCTCGATAGTGCAAGATCCGGAAGTCGACTTTCAGCAGGGCTGAGCGGACGGCCGGATGTAGCCCTTGGACTCTGTGGCTCGCAGCTCGCTGTCTCCATGCCCGTCGACGGACTCTTGGATGAGGCTTTGACAGCTCGGCGCTGGTACTGTGCTGTTGCAGTGCTGAGTGCTATGTCGGGGCTGGGGCACCAAATTCGGCAACAGCTATCATAGCTTCAGCCCCCATCCATGTTGCTTTTTCTTTGAAGCATCTCGCACAACGACCGGACACGTCCCTCAACAACAGGCTTGATCAGCCGCGTCGCCAGCCCGCTCTTCCAGTGCAACGAACTCTGCTTTTTCCATCTGTGCAGACAGTCTGTGCCGAGATGCCACGAGTTTCTTTCAAGCGCATTCACTTTCAACTCCATCAAACCGCAGCATGGCTTATCTTCCTTCTGTCTGCGATCCGTCTGGCCTTCTCCATAACTTCTGCGCCTTCTGTCTGCGATCAGTCTGACTGCCCGTCTGCATAACATGCCGGGGTGCAACACACGACTGCACTCGCCGTGGAGAGACTTGCAAGGAAGACAGGCGTCGGAGTCGTTGAGGACGTTAAGCCCGGGAAACCTGAAACTTCTAGTCTTTTAGGGCACATCGCAGAGAGAGAGCCGCGGTTGCGACGCCGAGAACTTGCCAGCCGAAAGACTCCGGATGTTCTCGCCAGGCCATCATGTGGTCTCGGCCATAAGACAACATGTCCTGTGTCGTGACATGCCGTGACACTGTATCGAGAACCACGTGCGTGCGAGGTGCATGTCAGTTCAAGTGGATATCACACCGTGCAACACAAATGGCTACTGAAGCAAAGCTGATAAATCATGCATGTGCGCAACACTGA